AATTGAGGGCAGATTTGGGAAAGGGGACTATGAGTGCCTTGTCAACACATGGAGGAAATAAATGGAATTCCTCTTGCGTGGGAAGACCTGATCTGTCTGTGTGTGCAAGTGTGCATTTCAAGAAGCCTCACTGGGTTCGAACCGACCAATTAATGGAAAAACTTTCCTTTGCCAGGGAAATATTAACGAATATTTCATTCTGGCACGCCGTCCCCATCCAGCCATTTGCTCTGCATGGTGGGTTTGCTGCTTGCTACACCCCATTGAGCCTGCTCCTGCTTGTTCCAGATGTGCCTAGTTTATCTATTTATTTCTTTGTCCAACTTCGAAAGCCGTCCAATTTTACAGCGACTCTGGACCGCATACAGTATTTAAAACAATAAAAATGCCACAGCCGACCAAAAGCAGGCTGGATGTCCTGAGAGAGCAATAAAAATGTACTCTCAACCCCCCCCCCCATATTCCCCCAAGGGGCATACTCCCCAACTCGGGGCCTGCAGGAAGAGCTAGGTCTTCAAATGCCAGCCCTCTGGAACAGCTGCCCCCTCCCACCGAGATTTGAATGGCCCCTACTCTGCTCCCCTTTAATTAGAGCAAGGTAGGGGCCATTCAAATCTTGGGGGGGGCAGCTGTTCCAGAAGGCTGGCATCACAACAGGGCACATCTCCTGGGTTCAGTCCATGGGACCTGAAGCATGCCGAATCTGTCTGACTGTGTAGGACGGGCAGGCCCCAGAGAAGACTGTCAATCCGTCAAAAAAGCAGGACCCGGGCCATGGAGGGCTTTGGGTGATCATTGGCACCTTGAATTGCACCCGAGGTTTATTGGTGACCAATGGAGGTCAAAAGCGCCCATCCTTGCCCCTGGCCCTGCATTCTGGGCCCTCTGCAGCTTCCCCACTGTCTTCAAGGGCAGCCCAACGCGCAGTGCTGTGCAGTAGTCCACCCACGAGGAGCATGAAGCGTGGGGGATTGTGAGGAGGGTCTCTCGGTCCAGAAATGGATGCAATTGGCACACATAAGGTGAATCTGTGCCAAGGGCTTCCTGACCACAGCTGCCTCCTGATCCTCAAGCAGGAGCTGAGGGTCCAGGAGGACCCCTAAATCGTCGCCAGTGCAATCTCATTCAGGCTAAGGATGGAAGGTCCCCAGATCTGGGTGGTCCAAATATCCATAGCCACTGGGTCTCCCCATCCAGACCCCAACAGTCCACAGGGAGTGGGACAGGACACTTGGTCAGCCCTGGGTTGAGATATACTTGGTATTCTCAGCATACGTTGACCTCGTGTGGTTAACCAGAGAGGAATCACAACTAATGAGCTAATTCTACTTTATTGTAAAGCTACATTGACAGAATCTTGCAAGTCTGAAAATACAAATCTCCCCCCTCCGACTCCTTTATAGCCTGAGAAACTAGGGAGGGTCCCTTCTGAGCCTCTTTCTCCACCCATTATGCAGCTGTGGGCTATGCTATCCCTTATCTGTCCATTCCCTTGCCAGTGTTCCTTTGCCCATCTCCTGAGGTCTTTCCCACATCCCATTACAGCATACTGGTACTACCTTGACCCCAAATCTATGGATGACCTCCCATGGTAGCATCATATAGATCAGTGTTTTTCAAACTTGTCAACTAGAAATTGTGTGGATTTCAACTCCCAGAATTCCCCAGCCAGCGGGCTTAATCTCTTCCCCCAGCCCATCATCTGTGGAACTGCCACAGCTGGCTGGGGAATTCTGGGAGTTGAAGTCCACCCATTTTAAAGTGGCCAAGGTTGAGAAACGCTGGTCTAGAAAATCTGTTTCCTCCAGGACCCTCTGAAGCCACCACCTAATCACCTTCTCAACAACCTAGAAAGGGAAGGTTGGAGACTGGATGACAATTGTCCAGGATGTTGGACCCCACAACTGCCTCTTAAGGAGGGGGTGTACCACCACCTCCTCCAGGACAAGTAGAACCATCACATGGACCCAACTACAGGTCATCTCCCACTTGGTCTTCACCAGCTAGAAGAGACTTGGATCTAATAAACAGGAGGCCAGGTTAATGGTCTGGAGGACCCTGTCTCCTTCTTCAGGAGTTGCAGGTTCAAGCTTGTCCCAGTTAATCTGCCACACGGTGCTTTTGTCACCTGGCATCAGCTGGACCAGACATTAAATCAACTCCACAGGAAGGCTAAAAGTAATTTTATTGAGAGTGGCTGTAATAAAGGACTCTTGCAAGTGTAATTGTCCTTTTCCCCCTCCTCCTTCTCCTCCTCCTCCTCCTGCTGTGAATCAGGGAGGTGTCTGCCTGATCCGCTTCCAAACGTTATCTGGCTTTTTCTGGATTTAAAAATGGTTCAACCCATTTGTCTTGGCAACAGCACCTCCATCAAGGTCACTTTCCTGACTGCACCTTGAGAGGA